AAGCCCTCTCAGGCTTCAGGCTTAAGATTGCCAGATATAACTGAGTCTTTCTTCTTATATGTCCACAAACAGAAGAGAATGACCATAGAAGTCCTACATCAGGTGATAGGGTCTTGGCTCACCTGGTCACATACTTGTCCAAATAATTAGACTCTGAGGCCCAATGACGCTCAACATGCTTTAGGGCACTTGCTGCGATAGCCCTGCTGACACTGGAGGCTGAAAAGCTGACAATAGGACAATGATTCACTTCAAGTACAACACTTAGTTATCACTTTAATGGACAAGAGATAGCACTACTAGGTATCAAATCCAATGATGACTCAGTATCAAGGACTCCTATATGAAAGTCCAACTTAGCTCTAAAGACAGTGAACTCTTAACCTCTTTCATGACTGTGTGGAAACATGGAGAAAGTATTCTTGGGCTGAGGAGATCTCACAGATCAGCCCCTCAGAGACCCAGATGTTCAATACTTCACAAAGTGGATACAGTTTTATACTAGAAGGGGTCTCAGGAAAGGATATGCAATGGTGACATTTGACCTTGTAGTGTAAGTTCAGCTTCTGCCTACTGGAACCTCAGCCCAGAAGGTAGAGCTGACAGCCTTGACAAGGGCCATTTTGCTAGCAAAAGACAAAAAGGTTATTACCTATAATTATTCCAAATATGCTTTTGCTATGCTATACGCAGCTGTATATAAGAAAAGAGGACTTTTAACTGCTGGTAGAAAAAGAAAGTACAAAAAAGAATTTTTACAGCAACTAGATGATTTATGAGTCTCCCGAAAAAAGTGGCTGTTATACACTGCAGGGGACACCAATGGACTGAAACATTAAAAGCCAGAAGAAACCAAAAGACAGATGGGAAAGCAAAGTGGGATGCTATGAAAGCCCCATAACCTGAGAGAAGGCCCCTAGCTGTGCCCCTCACCTCAGAGCTTCCTCTCCCAGAGACACCTAGTTACTCTTCAAATGAGAAAGCCTGGTTTGCCCAAGAGTCTAGAAATTATATCAAGAAGAGATAGTGGAAATTCCCTGATTGGAGGCTGGCAATCTCTGAAATGATGGCGCCAAGGTTTGTAAAACAATTCCACCAAGAGTCTCACATGGAGAAAATGACACTAGAGATTTTATTGGGCCGTCGTCGCTGTGTGTTGTGGCTCACTGCCGTCACCCAAGCTGTTTGTCAGCAACGCTTAACTTGTGCTTGAAATAACCCAAGGCAAGAACCACCCTGCTCTTGGGTAGTCAAGAAATGGGTGTTACCTTCTGTGAAAACTTGCTTTATGAATTTGCCTGAACTTCCTTGAGTGGGAGGCTATCAGCATGTGTTGGTGCTTGTCTGTACCTTTTCAAAATGGGTTAAAGCTTTCTACACCCAAAGAGAAAAGTCACAAGAAATGACCAAGGTACTGTTGAGAGACATCATCCCTAGATTCAGCCTGCCCCTGACCTTGGGGTCAGACAATAGTCTGGCATTTAAACCCAGGTAGTCCAGGGACACACACAGATGTTAAAAATAAAATAAAAACTACAAACAGCCTACCAACCACAGAGATCAGAAACAAGTAGAGCACATGAACTGGACACTCAAGAAACTGTTGAAAAAATTTTTCTGAGAAATGCGCTTGAAATGAAATCAGGTCCTGCCCATGCTCCTCCTCTGAGTCAGGTGAACCCCCACCAAACAAACTGGATGTTCCACTTGTGAGATCTTGTTCAGCTGGCCACCCCCAATTACATGTCAAATTAAAGGCGATCTCTGAGAACTAGGGAAATTGACTCTAAGAAGACAGATGCAAGCTTGGGAATAACCATGCAAGATATCCATAGCTGGATACAAGAGAAAATGCCTGTAAGCCTGACAGACCCAATACACCGCTACAAGCCCTTGGATCCAAAAAATGAAATCCAACCACCCTGGGACCCATATGAGATGGGCCCTAGAATAGAATCTTGTCTGTACCACTGCTGTTAAAGTTGCAGGAACTGTGCCTTGTATGCACCACAGTTGGCTAAAACTAGCAGCCAAAGACAAATGAATCAGCCAGCAGGACCCAGATCATCCAAACTGGCTGACCCTATTGCAAAACTGAGCTGCCACTGGAAATGACAGCCCTGCTCTAGTCACCCCAGAATGACAACCCTGCTCTAGTCAACCCTAGCTGTGTAGCCAACTAGTCTACACAGGTGGAAGCCTAAGGAAACAGCTGTCCTGCTCTAGCTACTACCAAAATTGACCAGTCCACACATGGCTGAAGTTTATGGGTCAGCATGGTGTTACAGTGACAGTATAAATCTGTCTTCATTTTTGTTATAATTCTCCCTTTGCCCCTGCTAGGAGAGAAATTTCTAGAGGGATGTTCCCACTGCATGTATTGTAGATAGTCAGGGAGCATTACAGTAAGAACCCTGCTATATCATACCTATAACAGATGTAAGGAACACATCGAGATACTTATAATTAAACAACCTACTCAGTTTGTGACCCAGGAAATAGCGAAGCTTAAATCTATTATAATCCCAAGTTTTCACTTCATGAAACCTGGCTCAAGGCCCATGCTGGGGAGGAGAAAGAAGATGATGGTGGTCTCAAATAGAACCAAATTCCCTCTAAATATAAAGGGGATAGTTCTTTGTACTTCCAAACTACCTACTAGATGAAAAAGAGAGATATGAAAGTTCAGTCTAACTAATTGTTGCTTATAAATAGATGACAATAAAGAGGTCAGCGTGAGCATTATTGCCAAAATTCAAAACTTAGCCCATATCTGAGCCCAAAAGTGGAAGGGATAATGTCCAGATTCTCTATTTGGAGGCTAGTTTTCATCCTTTAGAGGACTGAAAACCTTACTATCTTAAAAGTGTGTCTTATTTTTCCTTGCCTCTTACCCCAACAGCTCAGAAACATTCAGTCAGCCATAGTAGACAGGCACACCACCACTTCACTAATAGCTCTAACCAAGTACCGACCTCTGTCCAGCAGAATAAATCACAATGGTGATGATGATGATGATGCTCTTGTTTATAGAAAACATCAAAGGGGTAATGAACCAAAATCTAAAAAGGAAAACAATCTTCCTCAACTTTAAGCCGTTCTCCCTTAGACTATTCCCTGCCCCTATGACTTTTGCTATGTTAAATATTTTTCAGTTTTTAAAAAGAAGGAAGTTTTGTCATGTGACATTGTGGATAACCTTAAGGACACTATGCTAAGTGAGATAAGCCAGGTATAAAGGAACAAATACTGCATGATCTTACTGATGAACAGAATCTCAAAAGTTCAAATTCATGGACACAAGGAGAAGAATGGGAAGTTGCTGACTAAATGGTACAAAATTTCAGTACTCTGGATAAATAAATCCTGGTGATCTAATGCACAAAATGGTGCGTTTAATATTGCTGCATTATAATTTGCAATTTGCTAAGACTATCTACCTTAAACATTCTTAATACATGGAGTAAAATGATAAACTTGTGAGGTGATAGATGCATTAACTTGTAGTAATCATTACAGAATGTAGTAATCATTACAGAATGTGTGTGTAGATCAAAATTATTTTCTTCTTTCAATTATACCTTTGTAAAACTGAAGAAATAGAGAAGTTTGAATGCTTTCCAACCTATGTAATGAGTTTAGTATAACCTTAATCTAAACTGTGGCAAAGATTTTTTTAAAAATATAGATTAATCCATCAAAAACATCCAATATTTAATGAATTGTACCAAAAAAGGTCAACAATATGCCAAAAAATTTAATTCATCATGATTTAGTCTCAGATCAAGAATGTTCAAATAATTTAGCATTTAAAAGTTAATTGAGCCAGGCATGGTGACACACACCTATAATCTCAGCACTCAGAAGGCTGATGCAGGAGGATTGCCGTGAGTTCAAGGCCAGCCTAGAGTACATAGTGTGTTCAAGACCAGCCTAACTGATAGAGTGGTACTCTGTCTTAAAACAAAAATTAATTGACATAACTTACTATACTAAGAAAAGTGTAGAAAGTCACATGATCATCACAATAGATACATTATAAATAATTGATTGATTATAAATATTTGGCAAATTCAATATGTAGTTATGCAAAAACTATCAGCAGACTAAGACTAAAATAACTTCTTGAAACTGATAAAGTTAGCTATTAAAACTCAGTTAATGTCATGTTTATTAATAAAATATTGAGCAATCTCATTCTAAGGTTCAAAGCAAGGTACTTGTTTGTATTCAATATTGTCCTGGAGGCCATAGCAAGTGCACTAATAAAGGAAAGTTTAAAAAGGCAAAGGGATAGGAACGGAGGAATGAAAATGGTCTTCTATCATTGAAATATGATTGTATATAAAAATTCTAAGGAGTTAGAAAATAAAGACAAAAAATACAAAAGGAGTAGAAGGTTAATGTAAAATCTATCATATTTCTATGTAGTTGATAAACACATAGTGGAAAATATTTTAAGTGAAATGTTTTCAAAATAGCAAGAATAAATCTGAGGAAAAGTTTTCATGATTTCTACACTGAAAATACTAAAATATTCCTGAGAAATTGAAGAGAATCCAATGAAAGATGTACTATGTACATTAACTGGAAATTTCAATGCAATGGCATCACTGCCATTACATTGAAGACTGACATCCTCCCCTAATCATTGATTCAGTGCAACCCTAATCAATATCCTATTGGATTTTCCCTTTAAGAAAGTGACATGATATCTTTATATTTTACTGGGAAAGATAGGGATCACTAGAAACAACTTTAAGAACAAGGTTGAAATAAGCATAGTATTGATGTGAAGGTAGACATGTAGACCAATGGAACAGGAGAATCTGAAAACAGACAGTGATGTTAATGTCAACTGAATTGTGACTCAGTACCTTTGTAATTTATTGAGAAAGAATGGTCTTCTCAAGAAATGGTGCTGGAATAACTGGATTATTTGATTTAAAAGAAAAGATTCTGAACCTCTACCTCCCACAATGCAGACAAAAGTAATGTACCTGCTGAGTCACTGCTGCTGCTAAAGCGCCCCCAGAACTGTCTCCTGAGATGCAGACTCGACTGGGATCTACTCCATATTTTGAAAGAATTTTATCCTGAAGAAAAAACTTGACTGCAGTGATGCCATCTTCAAATTGAGCAGGAAAGTGATGTTGAGGAGCTAGCCTATAACTTTAAAATAGAGCAATAAAACACATATGGTTGTATTTGTGACTCTCAAATATCAAATAAACACAGTTTAACACCAGATCCTCAATCTCTAAAAAAGCCAAGTTTGATTTTTCTACTAGTTCTTCATTAAATAAAATTCAGTGTGAGGTCATAATGTTAAGTGAAATATACTATGTGCATCAACTTAAACATCCCATGATTTCTCTTGTATGAGAAACCCAAAATAGAAATAAAGAGCAAAGCAAAAGACAGATAATGGGAAACAAAGAAGCAGATCTTTTGTAAAAGAAAAGGGAACCCAAAGATCCAGGGAAGGGTGAGGGAGAAGAGGGAAAGGAGATGAAAAAGAACTAAGATGTGTTATGTACATATACCAGCCCCCCCCCCCGCGGGGAGTGTAATCATTACGTACTGTAAACATGTATTAATAAAACTTTTGAAAAGAAAAGATGTTTCCATATTGTATGTAAAGTCAATAGCCAGTTTTGTGCGTGAGAAGTTAGAGAAGTGTTCTGAACTCCCTTGAGACTACAAACAAAATTGTTAGCTCAAGTGCATTTTGGATTGGAGTACTTTGTACATTATTTCACGTTCTCAATGTAACTGGTGATACAAACATTTTTAAAACTCTTTTTGAAAAAGAATCATGATTTTTTTTGAAGACAACATACCTGAGATCATGTTCTAGGCAAGCAACCTATATTTTTCAAGTTCATTTTGATCAAATTTCTTCCAGCAAATTATATATATATATATATATATATATATTTTACCATAGACAATGTCCACAACTTGATTCTAGGATAAAATTTTAAAATATCAATAATGGTTTAATATGCTACAGTGTGCTTATTTCTGGTAAATTCATTTGCAAGACAAATTATCACACCATTGTATTAATGGTAAAATGGACTTCCGCACATACATAAGTAGACAATGAAAACAGGAAAATACCATTAAGGATTAGATCAAATGTATAAAATATGCACAAATTATAAAACTTCATAAAATAGATTTTAAATGATAGGATTTTCAAAAGTTATAAAAGTGCAAAAGATAATATCCTAAGATTATATATTAGAAATATTCATGCCAGCTGGGAATATAGCTCAGTGGTGTAAGCGCCTGCCTGGCAAGTGCAATCCTCAGTTCGATTCCCGGTACCAAAAGAACAAAACAAAAGAAAGAAACTTTAGAAATATTCGTGCCAAGTTCTTCTGGCTAGTGAAAGTAAGCATAATGGCTGTGGTAGCAATCACTTTCTTCAGATGGGCAAATCTTTAAGTTTTTCTCTAAATGTTTTGCTTCCTCCATAAAACAAAACAAAACTCAGCAATCAAGTCCCATAAGTCCTATAAGAATTGCTGGATTAGAAATTTATTTTCTATGTTACTATAAAATAGGAAAAGGTTATAAGAAAGAAACTTTCTGAGGATGATGGGTTTCAGGGCTAATTTTGGATGTCAGAAATTCAGATTATACCAGCATGAGTAAGAAAATACTGAACTGTGCTATTATTTCTTGGTACGTCCCAGGAAAATGCAAACTACAAGATCCCTTTTCTGTCAGTGGATTAAAGTTTTCAGCTGGTCTCAATCTTTATCACCTACATCACTACAAACTACAGCTGTTCTGAAATTAAACATTTTCTTACCAGCTCAAATACAGCCCAATACCCAAATGTGCAATGGTTAATTTACTGCCTCTTCTACAGCTATACTATGTGAGACCAAACTAGTGCTTTACAGAACCTGAACTTAATGTGCCTAGAACAATTGTGCTTCTTCAAATGCTCATTCTAGTGTGTAACTCAGAAATTTCTATAATCACAGGAAAATAGTAGAATACTGGGCTATTGTAAGGAACACTCTATGGTGCGACAGTAACAAGGAAATTATATTAACTTTTCAAAATTATATTTAAAGTATAGCTGATTGAAGTTGTAAATCAAACCTCTTTGTGTTGAAGCAAAAATTGCAAGTCAAAGAAAATCTTTCTCTTACTCTACTCCTACAACGACAGCATCAAGTTTGTTTGCAGTCCGTCTGTTCAGGAAGTCCAACGCTGTCTGCTCTGAAATGAAGAAAGGTCAGAATACTCCCCGTAATTAAAAAACGGCAGAAACAGTTCTAGCTATAAACACAGAAAGAAATGTAGTTTGTGAATGTTACACAGGAGCCTTTATTCCTGCCCCTGCTTCCTTGTAGAGATCTGACCCACAATACGCTCTGCTCATTTCAAGCTTTTCAATCTCTGTCTAGAGATGAAGAAATGATTTTGCCAATTGTTAATGTGGCAAGAAAAAACTAGGCTTCATCCAGGCTAATTTTCTCTTGCCAGTGCTGTTTGTACACATGGCCCTTCCCAGGTCCCTTGACGGCCTGGTGCATTTTGCTCTTCTCAAATCTTCCCCCTACCAAGTCTCATGGGGGAGAGTTGTGCTCTGTCAAGACAGCTAGTCACTTGCTGGGTCTCTAATTCTAAAGAGTGACATATCAACAGCACCTTCACCAGAAATAATAGTATTGCTTTCACTTTCACTTGCCAGAATTCCACGCATAATTATTCAAAAGAAAAGCAATAGTGATGCATTATTTTCCTAAAATAATAACACTCAATAACATGGCTCTTCAAAACTTTTGTTTTCTCTGAATATACATCACTATGAGATGATCCATTAATGTTAACGTTAAAACAGAGACTAAAGACAGTAACTAGATTCCCAGAGAGCTTCTGGCAAGTCAGCGTGCAGACCCGGATGTGCACGAGTTTGCGCACACTTGGCGCACAGCTGTCCACTCAGACGCAGTCTGTGCCCCTCCTTTAAAAGCACATCTTTCTCCAGGTACCCACAACTTCTATTCACCAGTGCCCTGGTCACAGCAACTGCGTCGTGTCAAATTCTGAGCGATGCCCTACAGTTCAGTTTCCTACAAGATCCTAGAAGTGCAGAGAATTTTAGCGTTGTGATCAAAGTTCAAATTTCAGGTTTTTCTAAGGCTGATCTTAAATAGTAGTAAAATTGTACATTATAATGATTTGAATACTGGGAGAATGACATTCTGGAAAACAGAATAGTAATCCACCCATTCTTGAGCTTAAAAACATTTTCATTAAAGATTTCGTTGAGAATTTACAAGAAAAGGAAATGCATGAATGAAAACCAAAATGCGCAAGATGGAAGAACCTCCTAATCTTCGCATTCAGGAACATATTTCAGAGCTGTGATTTCATTCCTCTCCGAATACATTTTTAGCTCTCTTACAACTGAAGACAAATCAAGTTTTTTGTTTCTCATTCTTATCTCAAACGGTCCCCACCATAGTACATTTACTGATACAATGTATATGGTCACAATTGCTCTATTCAGTTGCCATTTATAGAATGTATACTGTATTTTATAGAACCCAAGTAAGACAAAAGATTTTAGGACAAATATTGAAAAACAAGAACCAAAGAATTGTGTAACAAAAATTATTTTTCTTTTCTCTTTAAAGTAAAAAAAAAAAAATGTCTAAAAAAGAAATGAAGGGCTGGGGAGATAGCTCAGTGGCACAGCACCTGCCTGGTAAGTGCGAGGTCCTGAGTTCCATTCCCAGTACCAAAAAAAAAAAAAAGAAGAAGAAATGAAATAAAGGTCTAGGACAGCAACATTTTTCTATTATTTCTTAGTTGTCAAAGCAAATTTGTCATTTAGGTTGGGGATTGAGACAGGGTCTTGCTACATAGTTCAGGCTGGCTTTCAACTCATTATGTAGCCCAGGCTGGCCTCACATTCATGGCGATCTCCTGGCTCAACCTTCCAAATGATAAAATTAGAGGTGTGCGCTACCACACCGAGCATTTGCCATATTTTAGAAAAGAAAACCAAGAGAAAGTATAGAAAAGCAAAGAAAGAAAATTGAAATTTGCAAGCATCAGAAAATAGAGCTAGAGAAGAACACACACACTCAGGCACACATGGAAAGCCATCTAACCTCAAGAAAAAGCATGCTCTGAGAGAAAAATAAGAATGCATGAAGTGCTCAGAAAACAGAAAACAACTCAGTGTAACTGAAACAAAATTCCTGGAGTGGTCATTGACAAAAAACAGGAAACTTAAATGTGGGAGCTGGGAAGGGTAAAAATTTTCATTTTTTTCTCAAGTGATGAGAGTCATTGAAGAAATTGGAACAAAAAATCGTATAGTCAAAACTTCATGTTAGAAAGATGCATCATTAAATATAGGTCAGATAAAGTTGAACAGGACAAAGTAGAGCAGAGATATTAACAAGGAGCACGACGGAAACATTGTGAAGTCATTGTGAGTCAGGACATTACGATGAAGATGGAGGAAATATGGTAATTGAATGTGGGTTTGAAGGAACATTTAAACATACTAAATAATTATTGTTTATTTAGAGAATTAAAGAGCTTGAGTTGTTGACTTAAAGGGTGTTTGGTTTCTCAGGCTGTTTAGACATCATTAATCAAACTGTGTTTTATAGTATTAGTTAGAGCAGTCTGGTTTGCCCAGAGGTATATATATAGTTATTCATTGTAAACTTGGATGCAGAAATGGATATCAGGAGCCTATAAGTCATTGGAAAAGAAAAAGTATTGGAAACTAAATGTGTAGAGACAAAAACAGAAAGCCTAGAGAGAATTATGATGGACAAGCATACTTAGAAAATTTATGAATGAAGAAAATATGTTATTCTGTTTGTTTTCAAATGGGGGAGCCAGAGACTAAAAAGCAATTTCCTTCTTATTGGTAAAAGGAAATCTAAAAAATACTTCGTTAATGAAAATAAGTCAGAAGCAGTCAGTCAATGGAATAGAAGTTAAAGCTTGAGAAATTAATCTAAGGTGAAGACCCAAGGAAATAAGGACTGGAGCAGATGGATAGCTACAAGCCTAAGGAAAGAAATTGACAAGAGACCACAGTTTTGTCCCATCTCATACCCACCTTGTGATTTCCCATTGGATCGATGTTATCTAAGCAACTATATATGTAATTTTATTAATTGATTATAGTTTTGTCCTAATTTAGACCACCTCAGACCACCTCACCTGGTTTTGTTCTATAAACTCCCTTGGGACATCTTGTGTGTGTGTGTGTGTGTGTGTGTGTGTGTGTGTGTGTGTCTCTCTCTCTCTCAGAAGCTTTTTTTTCTCTCCATAAATACAGCTTTCCAGTAAATATTTTCTGTTCTTAACCTCTGTTATTCCTAAAGTTCATTCTTCAATTTTAGAGAACACCAATTCAGCATATTGAATATCTAGCAAGCTAGCAGGTTGGGAGTTAAAATATTTTCCTTATGTTATTTGGATTATTTGGAGGTCCTATATCATCCCTATATCACCAGCGTGTTAGAGCCTGAGGCAGAAGGATCGCCATGAGTTTGAGGACAACCTGGGCCACATAGTGAGACATAATCTCATAAAACTAAATGCGAGGGCATAAAATTTGTGAAGTTTTACACCTCCTCTGAAATAGTAATAAGCTTGGTATCTGGTAGACTGGGAATGGCTAGGTAGCCTACACTGATACAGATTAATAGTCACTGATAGGAAGGAGAGGTAAAATTGTTCAAATACATGTTCCAAGATTTCCGAACTGTATCAGGGACGCTGATTACCCAAATGAATCTAGAGTGGTGTAGTGCCCTTAATATTAAAATCAGCAGCAGCTGGGGGGCTTATCTTAAGTGCAATTTTCAGGCGTTACCAATGGCATACTGAACTAACAATTCGGCAGACACAGCTCAGTGATTTTTTTCATAAAAAGTAAAACAAAATTTTATGACAAGATAAGAGAATAACAAGAGTTAATACACTGTGTATCATTATCTTCAAAGTAGTCACTCAGAGTAGTCACAAACAGTAGTCACATAATAACACAACTTTCTTTTCAATGATCTAAGATAAACTAGAAGTATAAACGAAACAAGTTAGCATATATATGAAAGGATATTTGAAACAATGAAATATGTAATTGGGTAAGTATTGTATTTGAACTTCTCACTACTTTGTGTTTGTCTCTTTTCTATTTTACTATTTATTATGGTTTCTCTTATATGAGACACACAAAAGATATATTAAAAAACCAATGATCATTATAACAAGCCTTGTAGCTAACAAACATGGAACCACTGAAATTTAAGCATCTGAAACCAGTTTTACACCTTCCTGGGTGACATAAACAACCATTCCATGTCAATATGAATTCACTTTCTCAGGTTATATTAAAAATCTTTGAACAGAAAAAATATTTATGGAGATTCCAGAAAGTATATACAGAATACCAGCTTCCTCGCATATTACAAAATTCACCTCTAAATCATACCTTCCAAAGAGAGTTTTTACCTTTACTGTAACATTTACTATTACTTCAGAACACTGCTTTTTTTGGTTTTTCTCCAGTACCGGGAACCAAACTCATGACCTTGCACTTGCTAGGCAGGCGCTTTGCTGCTGAGCTAAATCCCCAGCCCCTGGAGAGTACTGCTTTTACTAAGTACATCTTAATGTCATTCTCTCAGCCTGTACTCACAGGGATTATCATATAATCAGTAGGCTGTGAGGATGAGTTTTAAGATGTTTCTCATGAAACAGAAAGTCTTTCTCTTAGGTAAAAGACCTGAGTTTCTCATTCCAGCTTAGAAATTATGCAATTTGGTAATTTTTTTATTTTTTACCATGTAAAGAGAATAAAACAAACAATGGAAGAACCTTATTTCTCCCTAGCCTTCTGTTTGCTAGACAATTTATCATGTATTGTTAGAGAACTTTTCTACTCTGTGAACTATGAGTAGTTGATAGAACACCTGCTAAGGCAATACTAAGGCGATACTGTTCTAATCGTTTTCAGAATTGCACCAAATAATGCAAGCAAGGCTGAGAGACAAGGACTGATCCCCAACCTGAAATTTTCAAGGTTGCAACACAGCTGCTGAACAAAGGTGCAAGGATACATACTCAGTTCCTCTCATTTTACTAAAAAAAATACAGAACAAAGCAATCTTTCTTCAGCTGAGGAGGCCATGTACTCTTCAAATATTTCCTGGTGACAGCCTGCAAAGTATTTAATGTCTATTTGTCACCTAAATATTTTCCTTCTGACAAGTCACAAGAAAACTTGTAACTAATTATATTTTTCTGTTTCTTGTCAGAAAGCTATGGAGAAGAAAACTCTAAAGCCAAAATTGTATCTTAACCATTTTAGCATTTTATATATATTAAACAAAGTCTTTTCCTGTGCCATTAATTCCTGTGCAATTTTCCCTCATCTCCTAGTGCACATTGCTAGTATTTGGTTAAGTGGCTTGCTATACAGTATATAGCTTGCTATACTGTATAAAGTTCTCAAACTATTTAGTACTAACGGAGACAGAGAAAGCCAGAATGAAAAAAATACACAATTGATTGAATTCTCCTCAGTTTTGCTCCCTCCCTTTATTATTTTATTTATATAAAACAGGCTCACAATATGTTAGCAGTATATTATGATAGAATTTTCTAAAGTTTTCATAAAGGTAAATTTATTCACAATTTTGTTTAAAATCGTTTGTATGTGTCTCTTAAAATCATCCCCGGAAACAAGTATGCACACAGGCTTCATAGGAATTACACTATTACATAATTCTATTTTGCCTTTTTCTTTTAGAATCAAGACAGCCACCTACATTCTAAGCTTTATCCGTATTTTTCTTTTCAGTGACCACAAGCATGATGTTGTACCAGCCAAAACATAATGCTTCTGATTTGCCATTTAAAAATATCTTCACCATTTTGAATTTTCTGCCTTTGTATTTATTCTTATTCCAAAGGGAAATATTTTAATAAATGACTAGCTCATGCCCTAGGTTTGTTTGAGATGTATGTTTATTCAATATGAAATCTTAAAATAAAATGCTTACCAAAATAAACACAACAAAACCTGAATTCAAAAATATTAATGCTATTTATCAAAAGTCTTTTTTCTCTACTAGATATCTAAAATCTATAGCTATATTTATGAGTATCTAAAGAATTATTCATATGAGTACATTTTATATAAAGTAGAGCATATATAAAAACGTATGCCTAACAGATCTTCCTCCTTAGATGATGAACTTACTGCAACTTCCAAAGCAAAAAGCACCACCATGCATGTAGATTACAGCTCGTCTTAGGGTTTCTGACTTCCGTCTTGGCAAATATAAACGTACTGGGACCTCAGCAAAGTCTGTATCAATCACTGCAGTATATTCATCTGACAGAGGCGGGGTATAATCCATCCTGAATATCATTGAAATAAATTCTTCGTATCTCATAATACCTATATTTTCTAAACAAATACCCTGAAAGAGCAAAACAAAATTTTGGGTTAGGATTTTAAAATAACACCACGTGCACATAAAGAGAAAGTGCAAAAAGGAAAGGAAGCACAAACAACATGAACAGAAAGAAACAAACTTTCTAATGCTGTGAAGATCTGGAGTGACCTTGCTGCATTTGAAAGGTTTTAGTAATCAGTATTTTAGACTAAAACTCTAACTAAAAAACAAACCTTTACCAGCAATTATTTTATTCATGTTATAATTATTTGTTCAGTATAAATTCTTATTTGAACATTTGCTATATTTTACAATCCCTCTCCTCTTTTCTGTAAGCATGTTGTCATATTTCCCTTTTTAATTATTTTATTTAATCCAAAATTTTAAATATCTTCATATGACCACACTCTTAAGGATCTAAATTTCCTGGTTTTCTGCTCTAATAGAGTAGCATTCCTCCATTCTCCTACATCCCATATTTGATGTCAGTGACAAAAGCTCTCCTTGCATTTTCTGACCAGCTTCTCTAGGACAAGTCTATCAAATCGCTGGATAGTTTACTCAAAGGAAGACGCTTAAAAGATGCACGGTCAACAATATATTAATACTAATGCAGTTCTTCCAAATAATTTAGGGCATTTGCAGAGTGTTTTTAAAAGTCTGTCCTCTATGCTTTAATAATACAGAAGCACTCAGAAATTTTGCTGCAACTAATAAAATTCAAAGTCCAAGTTTGCATCCATTTTTCTAAATTGGCCTCTTATGTCACCCATTACTAGTTGTGGACCATTGAGGAAATTACTCTTTTTCTTAGCTCTACAATGGTGGTAATAATAATAATAACAATAACAATAACAACAACAACAATAATAATACATTTCCTACTATACTATAATAGGATTTAAAGGAGCGACTACTTTCTTTGCACATACAAGAATATCTTGCACATGTTAAGTATTCAATAAATCTTGTTTTAGCATTAATTTTAAGTTCCCCACTAATAATAACTCTTTCTTACGATTTTCTTAAAAATTGAGTATTATTGAGTAGAGTACCTCTTAAAGTTTTTGAGAAGCTGGAAAGTTTAATTGTTTCATTAACTTTAAAATTAAATTTAATGACTTTTTAAAATTAGATTTTTAGCAAATTGGCTTGTTTTTCATATCTCAGGTTTTTCTGGTTTTGAGAAACCAGATAAACATTTTATCAGTTTAGAGATTATTTTGTAGTCTTCTGAGATACATGATCTTTAATACAGACATGCAGACAGCAGTCCTGCAAGGTATTTATAATTAGTATCCCCATCTTCAAATAAAAAAAAACAACATACAATTAAGGACTAAGGGAATTTTCAAAGGTTGGTCAAGCTTTATCTTTTCCTACAGCATTGCTCTTCGACAACTGCATAATATTGCATTTCTTTTCAACGGCCACTTTAAATCACTTTGAAGATATCAATATGTAATACAACAAGCATTGTTAATTTCCTACCACTTTGTAACTCTGTATTGTCTGTACTATTCTTTTGCTGTTTTGTAAAAGGTTGTCTGTCTGTTAAAAAAAAAAAAAAAAAAAACAAGGACCACTTTATCAGAATTTTAATTTTTACTTTCTCTTCATATGTTAAAATATCAACTATTCTTACTGTTATCATAAGTTTGAGTCACAAAATTCAATCTTGACAAAAGTAAAATTGTTTTTCTTAAAACAGCAGATTTTTTTAACTATTCACATCATTTATTTTGATGTTTTGTATGTGCTGTTGAGACTTGAACCCAGAACCTTATGGATGCTAGCCAAGTACTCTGCCACTGTTATCTCCCAGGCCCAAGATCTTGTAATTTCCTAGAACGATCTTTGAGGTGTACTTTCATTTAAAAAATTAAGAATAACAAATACATAATAGTAAATACAAAAAGTGCATGATTTTATTATAGATAGTGGCAAAAATAATTGGAAAGTGAAAAAGTAAAAGTAGAATTCTAGAGGTGTTGGCATGATACATGAGTATTGGTCACTCTGATTTACAAAAACATATGAAGTAATCAAGGGAGATTGTATAGCAATTTATCTGTGGAACTGACACTTGCAAATCAACATATTCTTCCATTTATATACCAAATAGTCAAAGAAAGCAACAGTTATGGTGAAAGTAATCTCCAGAAAAAATTAGAGGGAAAATTTAAGCACTTAGTAGACACCAGCCAGAGACAGATGGGGCTTCCCAGAATTGCAGCAGGCTGTACAGGCACCGTGAGAGAGCCTCTTCCTCCATATTTCGTGTATCACTTTCTCTTTAGTGATCATCTGCTGCTGTTGCTGCCTTCTACTTTCACCCACTCATTTTTCTGTTATCAAGGAGCATTTCTTGGAGCTCTCTGGTTTGCACAAAGAGTACACATTTTGAAAATGAATTAGTCTTAGCATCAGATTTTAGACTTGTTAATTTCCATGCGCATGTACCTTTCTGAATATTTCTTCCCCTTCTATAAATTGACAAAACTTATTAGAAGATAGTGGACAATGACTGGAGACATATGTCCTGAAGATCTACACATTTGTAAGAGCTCAAAAATGTTAGTTTCTAACTACAATGGAGCTTTTTATGTGAACTCAATCTATTCTGCATATTCCAAACCAGACAACCTCAGAAAATAGCTAATTCAGAATTAAATATGGATAATCCAAGCAGTGGAAATACCAAATTATCAAACACGTACAAACATAAATATTTTATGTCTCTATACAATAAGTATGGGATGATATGGTCCTTGCATATAGAAGAGAAAGTCAAATTAACAGATAAACCATTTCCTTCAAAACTACCATTTCCTTTCTATATATCACACTATTCAGAGACTTCACATGTAGACTCTAGGAACTCCAGAAAAAAGAAAGCCATTTCACCTGGTTTTAACTAATGCACTAAGTTTTGCATACTTAATATTATTTGGTTGATTTATCCTGAAAAACAAGTTATGTTTCTCACAAGAAGATAACTTTCATATTATTAATTGTAATAGCTCATAGGCACTGGATTTTAATTATCATGGCATCACAATATCTAAGAAATAAAGAAATATTAGTCTTACCACAAATGTACAAGTTTTTGCCATCACATCCAAGGCCATTACTTTTCAGCTTTCTTCGATGTTGCCAGGTACGGGTATATAAATAAGATATAAAAAGAATACACAACATCCCCAAGCAGAAAGTTTTGAAACCCATAATATCCTTCTTTCAGTCTCTTCACAGTGCTGAGATGAAAATTTTTCCATAAATATTGAATTATAAGCAATAAATCAAATTTAGACTTTGAACTTTTCAGATGATATAGCCATCTTAGCATGAAACTAATTTTCAATTCACATATTACAACATCAATAGTAACTTGTTTTGCAACCACACAGACGCCGAGGTATATGTCGTAATTCCTTAGATTATGCATTTATTCTTTTCTTGTAATTAAATGTTCCTAAGTATGGTGTTTATTCATCATGGAGTTCCATCCATCAGCACCAAAAGAGTTTTATTCTTGAGTTCTAAATCATGGGCTGGGTAAAATAGTCCAATGAATAAGTCATGATGTAAAATTCTGTGATACATTGGTTGTATTTTATAAGATGTTTTAATAAAATAGAGTAATTGATATTTAGTCAGAATCCAAGCTAATGCCATTAACACAGGTGTGATAACTAAGCTAAAAATTGCTGTTTGTGGTACACAAGTATGAAAGAAAAAAAAAGCTGTGGAGATTTCTCCAAATTCCATCATTCACAAAGCTAGAACTTTTTAATGGGCTACAGCACTAGGAATTTCTGTACAAATGCTTCAGGAAACTCTCTGTATTTTAGAGGATTATAGAGTGTGGTGGCTAATTTTATGGTTGAATTTCACTGGGCTAAAGGGAAGCCTGGTAGCTTGTAGGGCATTTTTGTGTGTGCCTGTGAGGGTGTTCCAGAGAAAATTAGCATTTGAATGGCAGACTGAGTCAAGATGACTCATTGGTGTTGCTAAGCATCATTCATCCACTGAAAGCCCGAATAGAATTTTTAAAATTAGAGAGGCCTGGTGAATTTAATCTATTTTCTTGAGCAGGGACATTGTTATAACTCTAAGCCACATTAATGTTACTCCAGCCTAATGTTCAATGTTTTTCATATATAGGTATTTAAGAAACCTGAATGGATAGCCCAATTAGTGGATTAAGGCCTAATGATAGGAGGGGAAGTTTCAAATCCACCAGAAGCAACAGAGGTAGAAACTCAGATTAGGAGTGGTCAGAAATGGCAGAAAAAGAATAAAGATCTAAATAACAGAATCTCTGCCTTCACAGGGCCACACAAATATGCATACATAAATGAGGTTGTGGAAGAGAGAGGGACATTTGGCTTTGGTTTGTGAAATTATACAATATTATGCAAATACTTCAAGGCAAAGTGTGTTCAATTTAGTTTCTCCCTAAGCTTTTATACCACAGTGTAACGATCAGTGTAATGGCTGTAGAGTCCCAGATGTCTCTTTCCACCCCTCAGCTGTGTCACTGTGCTGGGTCTGAGTCCCTCAAGCTGAAATAAAGACCCTACCCCTCCCTTTTGCGGTAAGTTCAATGACTCCCATCGTAGGAAAAGAATTTTCAGGACAGGTCAGGGAAGGGTTTAACAGACAGAGATTTAGGACACACTCAGGAGTGAAGTGTGAGCACTCAGAGAAAAGAGAGGCATCGTAGTTTGGAACTGGTAGCATTTAAGCTTCTCTTGAAGGGGTGGAAAAGCCTTGGAAGCCCCCTCTGCAAGGTATTAGCCCATTCTATAGGAGTGGGCATTTTTTAAAAATAGGCCATTTGATCCTATTCTTTGGGTTCACTCAACCTACTCCTTTATCTTGGGATCAGGCTCTTGTTCCTTACTTTTTCAATAAAGCCAGTATATAAACTTTTACTCTTCTGAAGGAAGTTTGCGTGTGGTGGATCTGGTAGGTAAAGAGTTTACATTTAACCAGGAATGCTGATATGTGTCACCCTGGGTAACTTGACCACTTCCTGGAAGTTACAGTGTCTTAAAGTACAATTTTTTACATATGATACCTTTGTCTGCTTTCTACCTACCTTTTATCTTCTTTTATCCTACCTCATTTCTATCAGGTCCATCTCAAACTACTTTATGGCAAGTAATATATTTTCCATTTCTTCTAAGACAGAATCCAAATTTCTCAGCGATTTATTTTATGTTTTCCGTCATCGTCAGAGTGTCCCCATTCTTATTCTATAATCCAGGCTGACTCTAGCTTTTGGAAATAAACTACACAGTGACTGAGTTACATTCCTGTGGCTACATCATTAAATGAAGTGGTCTCTAAATGAGGAATTGTATATAGTATGTACAATACACTATGCAGTACAAAGAAATGGTCAAAGGAAACTCCAACTTTATGACTTTTATTTGTATAACTTACATGCAACACTGTAGTGTGTAACAGAACACAAGAGTACAGTACTGTACTACACAGTACAATCCACAAAATTATAGTAGTGCATAAATAAGGCTTACTGTACAGCAACATTGACACTCTATAAACAAGATGTACAGAACTGTACAAAAATGTGGGTTGTAAGTCCAAGGGGTGAGTCACAAGTCTGAACAGCATACCTCAGTCTTAAATCTGAACAGTCATTAAACATGTGGATCATTAAGTAAGAGATATGTTTGTAAAGCTTTTGGATCTTTTGTTATACCTTTTTCCTAGAATGATTCCCCACAAATTCTCTTATTTCATTTATTTCTCAAACACTTCTTTATGCTTTTAATTTTTAGCTCAACCTCTTCTATGCTGCTTTTTGTAATTACTAAGTTAGAGCTGATTAATTAATGCTTCTTTAGCCCTTCCTAAAATGTATATATTTGTGTCACTATTATAGAGTAATAACTTCCAGTCTGTTAATGCCAGATGTGTCAATTTTGCATCTCTTGATACTGGAGAATGGACTCAAGGACAGAGGAGGTTAAGAGTAGGAAAGGTTTATTGAGAGAAAGTTCTGGAGACAGGAGGGGTCTCAGAAGTGGACTGCTGTTGAAACTGTTTGTCCACAAGTGTCCAAGATAAAGTACAGCAAAATAACAACTTGAGCAACTATGGGTCTCTTTTATCTATAGTCATGTCTACCTAGGGCTCTTCTGTGGACAGCACTTTCTGGTCAAACTATAATCAGCCTAAAGTATAGAGGTGGAGTTGCTGTGGCAGACTGACAACAGTTGTCAACTTGTATCACCCAGCTGAAGTGAACCAGCATGGTGCTGGGTGTGGGAGGCCCACCTGAGGATTGTTGCTAGCAGAATGAGAGGCAGAGCTGGGTGCTGTTAGAAGCCATTGGGTGCTGTTAAAAGCTGTTGGGGGCTGTTTGCAGCTGTGGGGAGGTGTTGGAGCTGTTGGTTTTCCTGGAGCTGCTGTTGGTCCTCCTGGAAGACCTTGTCATGTTGGCTTTCCTGATGAACTCGGCTGTTATCATAGTCAAAGGAGCTCGGGACCTTGTTCTCACTGGGAATGGCTATGGCGCACTTTGGAGGAGCTCTAGTGCTTACTTTTAGGATTGCTTCCTGGTTCCGGAGGGGAAGATGATGCACTTTTTAGTCAACTGGAAAAGCTTGCTGTGCTGGCTTTCCTGATAGAAGCTCTGCTGTTCTCATCATCAGAGAAGCTTGGGACCTCATTGTCTCTGAGCACGGCTATGGTACCTTTCAGGGGAGCTCTGATTATTACTTTGAGCATCATGATGCTATGGTTGTTCTTTAGGTTGGGCTTCCATTTGCTTTTGAAGAGACTGTTGGAATTTAGCCAGTAAGGTGAATTTTTATCAAGGCAATTCTTTTATTGAAGAGAAAATATTTAGTGAGAAAAGAATCTCACAAGGACAAATTCTAGAATTGCAGTCCTTCTTACTTTAATAAGAGCTAAAAGTAGCACATGGGGCCAGTATAGTTTCCTGAGCCATTTTATGAAGCCGCCTCTTTAGGGTTTCATTCATTGTTTTGACCTTTCCGGATGACTGTGGTCTCCAGGCATAATGAAGGTGACAGAGAATTTCCGGTCCCTGAGAGACACCCTGTGTGAACATCCCTTTAAAAACCCATTATCACTCATTAAATTATTAGGAAATCCAAATCTAGGGATGATTTCTCAGAACAGTCTTTAACATCTTCTGTTCTTTTTCTGTCACAAAAAGGAAGCCTTCCACAAAATCTGTAAAAGTATCTACCCGACTAATAAGTATTGGATTTCCTTATATTTTGGCATATGGGTAAAATTAAGCTGTCAGTTTTTCCAAGATATTTGCCATGTCTCTATACCAGGAGAAACTATGGTCCAGTTAAAAAGATTTTGAGGCAGAGTTCACCTATCTATTGTATTGCCTGAAAGAGTCTTATCTTATGAATGATTTTCGATCATTTGACTGGTCTTGTCATTTCCCAATTGAAACTTTTGATGTAAAGACTTAATATTTTTTTTATCGATGACCACCGGGAAGGAACAATTTATCCTTGTCTTATTGTAAGCATCCCTATGGAAGGAATGGACATCCATGGGAGACAGCCCATACTCTCCTGGAGGGAGACAATGTACCTGACTCAGATGTATGCATATTATAACATTTAAACCAGATAAGACATCTCTTTCCAAAAGAGGAACTCTACTTCGGTTACGATAAAAAGGGAATGAGAGAAGAGAAAGCTATCGCAGTTACAGCCTAAAGATTGTTAGAAATAACTTCTCATTGAGGTATAATGACTGGAAGGAAGGCCAGGGTTGAAAAGAAGAACTGAGGGTACCTCTGGTTTGCAGCAACTGGCTGGTCCCTTTTCTCTATAGTCATGTCTACCTAGGGCTCTTCTGTGGCGAGCACTTTCTGGTCAGAGAGAGAGGGCAAAGGCTGCCCCAGAGCACTTCAGTACTGCTGGACCAGTTCATAGAATGAATCTGACACCAAAGACTTTCATCCCTGGGGGCAGTCTGACTTCCAGTGGTCACCACTGCACATAGGACATGATGTAGGGGGCTCTTGTTGCTACAGTTTTTATTACACTCCCTCTTGAAATGCCCTGTCTCCCACAGCTGTAGCAAGTGGGTCTACATGGTAGCTGTCCTTGGAGTCTGCGAAATCAGACCCAGAGGTTACTGTATTTTAAGGTGGCAAACAAATCAGCCACTTTCTCTTTGTCTCTTCATCTCTTTCCCTTGGCTTCCTTCCACTCCAGTATAAAAGACCAAGGAGATAGCTCCCTCTAGAGTATCAAGTGAGCTGTCCTGAGTGAAAGCGATTGTTTGCAGCTTTCTCTCTGAGGCCAGCTGGGCAAAAATTTGCCTGTACAA